TTTAATATTAAACATTTTATTGTTTTGTGAATTTTGAGTAAATACTTTTTGAAGAAAAGTATTTTATTTTTAAAAACATCACTTTCACTTTGTTGTATTCTTAATTTGAAAGTTGCTTTGGATAAAAGCGTCTGCTAAATGAATAATAAATGTAGTAGCGATTGAACTATAAATTGCCCAATATTTGGCCATTTTTTCGTTTTTTTGCCAATAATACTGTATGTCTTTTAGCGATAGACCAATATATCAGCTAGGCTGATAAATCATCCAAAATTTCACCATTTTCAGTTTTCAAGCATGTAATTTGGTGTAATCTCAAATTATTGTGCAGTTTTACGTTCAACATTTATTGGCAGTCTTGTTAATGTTATTAAATAGATTTAAAAACTTTAAAAATATATTTGTGGTATTTTTATTTATGTTTTAATAAATATTTGATAAATATTTCAATATTAGTTTTTTGTTTATATTTTGAGTAAATATTGTGATAATATTGTGATAACTAGATTGTTTATAAAATATCAGCATTAAAATATCCAGCCACTGTAGATGCGATTATCGGCATTGGCCGGTATTTCTATTTTCTAGATGCTTTAAAACATAAGTGTTGTAATAATGTGGGCTGCAATGATAATTGATTGCAAAAAAGACTAGATTACACTAAGAACGACTAAATAGATTTTTTTTTTTTATTATTATTATTCTAAATTCATAATTAGTGGCACTAACTTATAGGAGTGAGTCCCAGTAAGTTCTGATTCTGTTATATCAATAGCATGCTAGTGGTCGTTTCAGATGAACTGACAAGAATTCACTTTGTTCTCAGAGGGAGCTGAGAGCAGCTCTCAGACCCCTGCAGGAGAAGCTGGAGATGTTCAACACAGCCAAACAAACCAGCCAGGAAACTTCAGAACACATCAGGGTAACATCTCCGAGTCAAAAGAGCAATGCAAGCCAACTTTAACAGGATATTCAGGCTGTTTGGGGGCTTTTACATATTTTATCAGCACTGTGTTTAAGACTAAAGTGAATTTAATGGCTAAAATGTATCCCACATATACTTTTCATGTGACTGTGCACTTCAGTAATTAGTTATTTTATTACTCACATTTTTAAACATTTTGCACAAACACATTAAGGTGGCAGTAATTTCTGAACGTCTCTCCACCCTCCGGACAGAGACAGGCCCAGAAGACCGTGCGTCTGATAAAGGAGAACTTTGAAAAGCTCCATCAGTTCCTGCATGATGAGGAGATCTCCATGCTGAGAGCTCTGAGCGAGGAAGAGGAGCAGAAGAGCCAGAAGATGAAGGAGAAGATGGACAAACTAACAGATGAGATCATGACCTTAAGAGAAGCCATTAGTTCAACAGAAGAGGCCATGAGCGCTGATGATATGGCATTTCTGAAGGTAGGGAAATAAATCAAGATTATTTTCTATTATTTTAATAGTATAGATTGAAAGAAAAATCATATTCCTTTGGTTAAATATATATTGCATGCATATCAATCTGGTCTGTTTAAGAGAAACTGGAGCAGCACATTTTCTGAAAATTCTCTGATCTTTCTGTTACAGAACTACAAGAAGAAATCAGAACGGTAAAAATATTTGATTTATTTATTCATTCATTCATCCATTCATTCTTGCGCAAATATTGATAATAATCCATATTTGCACAATCAATACTTTTCAATATTGATAATAATCTTGAGCATCAAATCAGCATTTTAGAATCATTTCTGAAGTATCATGTGACACTGGACTGGAAGACTGGAGTAATGATGCTGAAAATTAATTTCTGAAAATTTTTCTGAAGAATATTATTGCTGTTTTTTTAAAGATTAGTTTCTATAAATTGTGATTTTGGGCTGCATTTTGAGTTCTGTATGTTTCACTGTTTATTCATAGTGATATGGAAATTACACGAAATGAAAGTTACTAAAAGTATTTATTTATTCGTTCGTTCATACATTTATTCATTCATTCATTCTTTCTTGTGCAAAATAAACCCAGGCAGGGTTATTGGTTTAGCAGCCTGCAGCCACAAGACTATTTAGTAAATAAAATGGCTTGTAACATTAATGTGAGTTGAGTTTGTTGATCGAGGCTCATTGTCAGTTTCAGATGAACCTCAGTTTTTGATGAAGCTTCTCTGTTTCTGTCGCAGGATGGACTGCAGCGTTCAGGATCCGGTGGAAATCTCCGGAGCTTTGATTGATGTGGCCAAACACGTCGGCTCGCTCAAGTTCAGAGTGTGGGAGAAGATGCAGACCGCTGTCACATACAGTAAGAGCAAAATCTACTGTTGTGCTCAGAAAGCCATCCGTTTTTTTATTTAATTTTTTTTAGAAATTATATTATTAAGGTTGGTTCCTAATCGCTGTACTCCTAGTATAACAGATCCAGACTTTTGACATGTTATCTGTTTTTTTTCTGGTCTTTATGCATCCTTTGTAAAATGAATGAAAATGAACAAATTCCTTTAGTTAAATATTTAAAAATTAGCTCAACAATATCTAATGTTTAGATATTAATTCAACAGAAGAGGCCATGAGCGCTGATGATATTGCACTTTTGAAGGTAGAGAAACAAATCAAGAATATTTTCTATTATTTTAATAGTTTCGACTGAAAGAAACTTCATATTCCTTTTGTTAAATATTTAGATATTACATGCATTACATTTATTTGAAATTAAATTACATTTAAAAAAGTAATGTTTTTTTTATGTTTTTTTAATTGTTTTTTATATTTAAAACAAATTATTAAATAAATTAATAAAAAACAAAAAGTTTAGACTAAAATTGGTGTAAAATTTTAAAATACACACACACATATATATATATATATATATGTGTGTGTGTATTTTAAAAAAGTACACAAAAAAGGTAAACTATAAATACAATTTGTCACGATTAATTTCAAGGAAACGGAAAGTAACACATTAAATTAAACACGAAATATTTAAGTAGAAAGACTAAAATAGGCCTAGTATTTTCATGTAAACGTACTCCAGTAATCTTATATTGTTTTCCTTCATCATTTTTTTACAGTGTAGCATACTGATTATTTCACAAAGTAGAATTTACATTTTAGTTTATGAATATCCAGTTTAATCACTTGCAACTGGCTTAAAACTCATCTTGCAAGTGACTAAACTCTGAATACCTGTCAAACCTTCAGCTCACGTGATCCTCGACCCCAACACCGCAGACGTCTGCGTCACTCTGTCCGACGACCTCACCACCATCCGCTACACCGAAGAAGAGCAGCAGGTCCCGGACAACCCCGAGCGCTTCTGCTTCTATGACTGCGTCCTGGGCTCCGAGGGCTTCAGCTCCGGCCGGCACAGCTGGGACGTGGAGGTGGGAGACTGCAGTGAGTGGGCGCTGGGGGTGGTGAAAGAAAGCGTGCAGCGTAAAGAGTGGCTCCCACCGAGCCCTGAGCGCGGCATGTGGACCATCTGCCTGTACGGAGGAGAGTACCGCGCGCGGACGTCCACCAGCGCTCCTCTGACGCTCAAGAAGAAACCTCAGAAGATTCGGGTTCAGCTCGACTGGGAGGCCGGCAGAGTGATGTTCTCGGACGCCGGAGACAACTCTCTGCTGTATAAGTATAAGCATAAGTTTACGGAAAAAGTGTTTCCGTATTTCTCCAATACATGTAAAAGACATCCACTGCATATTTTAGCGGAGAAGGTGTCTGTGTACACGGAGTGACTCAACAGACGGAAGGACTGAACTAGTACAAGAATGACTTAAAGGTATAGTTCACCCAAAAATAACTATTTTGTCATTATTTACTCACCCAGACCTCCAAACCTGTATGTATGTAAATTCTTATGCTGAACACAAAAGAATATATTTTGAAGAACGTGGGTAACCAAACAGTCGATGGTAGCCATTGACTTTGATTTTTATTTATTTATTTTTTCATTTTTGGGTGAACTATCCTTTTAGCAAGTCTCGATAGACTACTGTATTTTCCCCAAGGAAATTAATATCTTTATTCAGCCAGGATGCATTAAATCGATCCAAAGTGATGTAAAAAAAAAAAAAAAAAAAAAAGTTTCTCACAAAGTAGAATTTACATTTTAGTTTATGAATATCCAGTTTAATCACTTGCAACTGGCTTAAAACTCATCTTGCAAGTGACTAAACTCTGAATACCTGTCAAACCTTCAGCTCACGTGATCCTCGACCCCAACACCGCAGACGTCTGCGTCACTCTGTCCGACGACCTCACCACCATCCGCTACACCGAAGAAGAGCAGCAGGTCCCGGACAACCCCGAGCGCTTCTGCTTCTATGACTGCGTCCTGGGCTCCGAGGGCTTCAGCTCCGGCCGGCACAGCTGGGACGTGGAGGTGGGAGACTGCAGTGAGTGGGCGCTGGGGGTGGTGAAAGAAAGCGTGCAGCGTAAAGAGTGGCTCCCACCGAGCCCTGAGCGCGGCATGTGGACCATCTGCCTGTACGGAGGAGAGTACCGCGCGCGGACGTCCACCAGCGCTCCTCTGACGCTCAAGAAGAAACCTCAGAAGATTCGGGTTCAGCTCGACTGGGAGGCCGGCAGAGTGATGTTCTCGGACGCCGGAGACAACTCTCTGCTGTATAAGTATAAGCATAAGTTTACGGAAAAAGTGTTTCCGTATTTCTCCAATACATGTAAAAGACATCCACTGCATATTTTAGCGGAGAAGGTGTCTGTGTACACGGAGTGACTCAACAGACGGAAGGACTGAACTAGTACAAGAATGACTTAAAGGTATAGTTCACCCAAAAATAACTATTTTGTCATTATTTACTCACCCAGACCTCCAAACCTGTATGTATGTAAATTCTTATGCTGAACACAAAAGAATATATTTTGAAGAACGTGGGTAACCAAACAGTCGATGGTAGCCATTGACTTTGATTTTTATTTATTTATTTTTTCATTTTTGGGTGAACTATCCTTTTAGCAAGTCTCGATAGACTACTGTATTTTCCCCAAGGAAATTAATATCTTTATTCAGCCAGGATGCATTAAATCGATCCAAAGTGATGTAAAAAAAAAAAAAAAAAAAAAAGTATCACAGTTTCCACAAAACTATTAATCAGCACAACTTTTCAGTATTGATAATAATCAGAAATGTTGCTTTAGCATCAAAACAGCATATTAGAGGATCATGTTACACTGGAGTAATGATGCTGAAAATTCAGAGTTGCATCATAGGAACACCTTTTAAAATATATCCAAAAAAGAAAACAGTTATTTTAAATGGTAATAATATTCCAGAATATTACTGCTGTTTTTTTAATATTAGTTTTTATAAATTGTGATTTTGGGTTGTGTTTTGAGTTCTGAATGTGATGTGGAAAGAACATGATATGAAACTTAGAACGGTACCATTCAAAAGTTTGAGTAAGATCTTTTAATGTCTTTGAAGTCACCAAGACTGCATTTATTTATTTTTTATCAAAACAATACTGTAAGACAGTCATATTGTGAAACATTTACACTTTAATTTTTTCCTATTTGAATATTTTTTAAGAAATGTAAATTCCTGTGACCAAAGCGGAATTTTCAGCATCATTACTCCAGTCTTTAATGTCACACGATCCTTCAGAAATCATTCTAATATGCTGATTTGCTGCTCAAGAAAAATGTATTATCAATGTTGAAAACAGTTGTGCTGCTTAATATTTTTGTGGAAACCATTCTTTTCTTTTAGGATAATTAAAAAGTACAGCATTTGTAATAGAAATCTTTTGTAACATTATAAATGTCTTCACTGTCAATTTTGATTAAATTAATAAATGAATAAAAGTATTACTTTATTTAAAAAAAAATTATATTACTGACCACATACTATTGAACAGTTGTGTATAAATCACTAATTAGTACAAGGTTTGAGAAAATTCAAAACTTCTGAGCACATAAATTAATGCATCCTTGCTGAATAAAAGTATTACTTTATTTAAAAAAAAATTATATTACTGACCACATACTATTGAACAGTTGTGTATAAATCACTAATTAGTACAAGGTTTGAGAAAATTCAAAACTTCTGAGCACAGCTGAAGAAACTTCCAATATGAATGAAGTTTGAGCATCAAATGCTTGTTGTTCATGTCGTCTTTGTGCTGAAGCTCTGTGAACTCTGGGTGAATGAGCTCTGATGACATCTCCAGCTGTCCAGCCTCATCAAGCCCAGCCGATGACAGACACTCGCTCCCCCTCGCCTGAGCTTTAGCATGCAGATGCTCTTTACCTTGCCCTGTTATCATGACTTTGCAAACTCTACTAGTGCAGATCTAGTGAGAGACGCATGCACATAGGAGAGTATATTGCCATCTGCAGCATCTTACAACAGCAAACTTAAGCATTAATAGTATGTAATCAAACATTTGTGAATGTAATCAGACGTTTGAAATGCTTTCAAATGTCATCATGTAAAGTAGGAAGTCAGTGGCAGCAAGTCTGTTCAGAATATTAGATAGCTGCTTACTGAATATTGTGCAGTATAAATAAGCAACTTTTTTAAATAGGTGAAACAATCATTTTGCAACCAAGTTTTCAAACGGTTGTATGTTGTATTGTCATGACTGTAACTTTGCATGTTTTCTTATTTTGCATTTTTAATTCAATTCAAAATTCTGTAATGACATCATTCATCACATTGCAAATGGAAGGTCAAGTGCAGAAGATTTGCAAACTATGCACAATATACATACAGGTACTTCTGGAATACAAAATATCAAAATATTTTGACCAGTGGTTATTAGCAAAACTTTAGAATTTTTGCAAACAACGCTTGCTTTAAATAGCACTATTCCACTGTCGTAGTCTCATGAAAATACTATTACTACTAATAAAATTAATACTACTAATAATATTAAAACATGTTCATTAACATAAATTATCATGACCTAATTACCCCACCCTTTGTGGTCATACAATAATTCTGACAATGGAGACTTTTCACAGACTGAGATGCATTTACCTATATATATTAATTCACATCATAACGCTAACAAACTTTATATATATATATATATATATATATATATATATGTATATATACAGTATCTCACAGAAGTGAGTACACCCCTCACATTTTTGACTCATACGTCACCTGCTCCCCATTCACACCTGAGACCTTGTAACACTAATGAGTCACATGACACCGGGGAGAGAAAATGGCTAATTGGGCCCAATTTGGACATTTTCACTTAGGGGTGTACTCACTTTTGTGGCCAGCGGTTTAGACATTAATGGCTGTGTGTTGAGTTATTTTGAGGGGACAGCAAATTTACACTGTTATACAAGCTGTACACTCACTACTTTACATTGTAGCAAAGTGTCATTTCTTCAGTGAAAAGATATAAAATATATAAAATATTTACAAAAATGTGAGGGGTGTACTCACTTCTGTGAGATACTGTATATATATAATTTACAATGGTCTACAATTTATTGTGAATACAATTGTGAATCATTTATAAAGATCTTAAGGATCTTAACAATAAAACTGCATAGGCACTATAGTGAAATGATCAAAATGGCAATTTTTCTTTAAACTTTTTTTTTTATTATTGAGGACATGCAAACCATGCACAAAAAAGAAAAACAATATATTTACAGAATGAACAAGAAGGTAGAAAAACAATCCACTGATCGCTTTCTCTCAGCTTCACTGACCTTCACCTTCAACTCTGAAATATCTGACGAAAATTACATTACATCTAATATGGAGATTTCCAGTAAATACCGGGTAAGACTACAAAAAGACTGTTAGTAATTAAATGCATTATAGGAATATAAACCTCAAAATAATTAAAAAACGTTCATCTGGGTTCAAAAAGTGACTATTTATCACAGTAACACATTGGCATGTGTTGAATCTATAGATTGAGAGCACCAAACGTCATCTTAGAAACATACAAAAAATGCATTGCTGATTGCTGTATCTGTGTGATGAGTCTTAGCTTTCAAAACGAAACCGCAAGTCATGAATGCAGCTAGAGGCAGAAGTCTACAATCCATTTTTTTGCTCTAGTCTCAGATACAACATAAGCCTAACAATAACAATTAATTTTTTTCTTTTCTTTATATCTTAGCACTAAGACCATCTGTAGGTAGTTCTTGATTTTTCTTTAAAGCACAATGACGGAACACAATCTCTTAAAGATGAAGTGTCATTTGCATCACTACTGGTGCAGAAAACTGTGGAAGCCTGTTTCCGCCATAGAATAAAAAAATAAAAAGGGTACTTGTGACTTCCCAGCAGGCACCTTGATATCAATTTTACATCAAATATTAGTCAAGACTTGATCAAGATGCTGTAACATCATTTTAAATTCAGTTAGGACTGCAATTTCTTCCAGTGGTAATTGGGTGAAAATAGGAAGTAAATTCCACACTGAAATTGATTTAATGTATATGTAGGCCAATATGTTTGACGTTCAATTTACATAAAATCAACGTCATGTCAAGTTTTTGACACAATTTAATGTGTTTTCAACATCAATTGCCCACTGGGTTGTTTCTTGCAATTCTGAGAAAAACGTTGGAAACTTGTAATTCTGTGAAAAAAAAGTCAAAATTCATGATTTCATACACAGAATCCATGCAGCGCACAATTCTGAGTTTATATCTCAGATTTCAGTTTTTTCTCAGAATTCCAAGTTTACATATCACAATTCTGAGTTTCTCATAATTCCATTTTTTTTTCTCAGAATTCCAAGATTGTGTCTCATAATTCTGAGTTTATATCTCATTTTACCCCCCTCAGAATTCCAAGTTTACATTTCATAATTCTGTTTTTTTCTCTCTCCAGATTTCCAAGTTTACATCTCACAATTCTGAGTTTAGATCTCATAATTCAGTTTGTTCCCCTCTGAATTCCAAGTTTGCAATTAAGTTTCATTTTCAGAGTTAAATTCCTGCAATTTAAAAAAGTCGCAATTACCTTTTTATGTTTTTTTTCTATGGCATAAACGGCCTTCCATAGAAAACACACTTCCCTTTTAATCGTCTTGTCTGAATCTACATGTTGCAGGAGGAAAGCACTACGTCTTGAGTCTTTTTAAACTTGAAAAGTCTGTGAGGGATTTCAATCTGTTATTTAACTGTGCTGAGTAAGTCAACACTCATAATCACACAGACATTCTTACCCTGCCTCGGGCCTTGATTCTCTTGTAGACAAAGTCCGGATAGGCTTTTCTGGGGATGAAGCGGCCGGAACCCTCTGTCACATTGAGTTTCCCGTCCTCTAGAACGATCCTGCCCTGACTGATGACCACCACAGGGAAACCTCGGCACTCCATTCCCTCAAAGATATTCACCTCCACTGTCTGCGGCGAAACATAGATCAGAATAAGGAGTTTTACATTTCACATCCACAAAATTCCAATGGAATATTACAAGGACTTAACAGAATTCTGATGTGTTTAGACAGAATCCAGCTGTAGAAGACTAGAACTGTTTCCACTCTAAACCAATAGTTAGGTAAGTACAGTGATGTGGGATGAATAAAAATACCATTGTTAATAGGTTATCTTTTTTTTGCAATTCTCATACCAGATTGTGAGTTTTGGCAGAAAAGGTTTTTGTCTCCTTGGTGTTCCAGATGACAATGTCAGCATCCGATCCTACAGCGATTCGGCCTTTCCGAGGATACAGGTTGAAGATTTTTGCAGCATTTGTGCTCGTTACTGCAACAAAATCATTCTCGTCCATTTTACCGGTTGCCTGTGTGACAAAAATATTATTGGAAACTGCGAATAAGACAATGCACTGTCACATACGAATGGAAGTTGTTCTTTTGCTGTTCATGTTTGAACTCTGACCTGGGAATTCATGACATAATGGCTAATAGAGGATCCAAATATCACAAAGAATGCAAACTTAAAGCTGCAGTGTGGTTTGCAGTGTTGAAGTATATAATATATTTTTTAAATCTTACATGCATTATTTTTTTATTTAGTTGAGAAAGAGAGACTGTATTGTGAGGCCTACCACAGCTTTGTCCCAGACGATGCTCATACGCTCCTCGATGCCGTTGGTCCCCTCCGGAATGAGGGTGAAGTTGTCCTTTCCAACAGCTTTCTGTGCCGTGGTGAAGGTGCAGTGAGCGCTGGCCGTCACCTGAAGATCCCCACTGAAACGGTTCATGATGGTCAGTAAGTGTAATGCTTTCTGAAGACTAAGGGCCAGATTTACTAAGCAGAGAAAATTAGGCCGTAATCCCTAAAAAGCGCAGATGAGAGTCAAAAGCTCTTGTTCTACTGTCAATGTGCAAATTAAAGAACACAGATGTAGTAAGATCATTTCCATTAAAGGGTTAGTTCAGCCAAAAATGAAAATTAGGCTGCGTTTCACTCACCCCCGATGCATCCTAGGTGTACATGACTTTCTTCTTTCAGACGAATCCAGTCGGAGTTATATTAAAAATTGTCTTTGATCTTTCAAGCTCTATCGTTGTACTCAGCGGGTGTTGCATTCCTT